AATGAAACATAAATTACAGAGCGCGCTTAGTAACAAAATAATGAAACATAAATTACAGAGCGCGCTTAATAACAAAACAATCAAACTTAATTTACAGAACGCGCTTGGAGCTAACAAGACAATCGAACGTAAACTACAGAGCACGCTTAGGCCTAACTAAACAATCAAACGTAAACTACAGAGCGCGCTTAGAACTGAGAAAACAATCAAACGTAAACTACAGATGCCACTTAGACCTAACAAGACAATCAAACGTAAACTACAGAGCAGCGCGCTTACACCTAACAAGACAATCAAACGTAAACTATAGAACCTGATTTGACCTAACAAGACAGTCAAATATAAACTACAGAGCGCGCTTAGACCTAACAGAATAATCAAACGTAATTTACAGAGCGCGCTTAGAACTAACAAAACAATCAAACGTAAACTACAGAGTACGCTGAGACCTAACAAAACAATCAAACGTTAACTGGAAAGCGCACTTAGAACTTACAAAGTACAAAAGTATCCCTCACATATGGAGGACAGAAGTGGGTAAGGATTACTTGTTCTGCAATCTGTTGTAACTATGACCCATTCTCCGCGTCCTTGCTTTATTTTTCCAGTGCACGACGGGTAGTTGTCAAAACGTACTCGTAAAGCAATAAAGGAAAGGAGAACGCACCGCTGAGGGATACAATTGGCATCGAACGATTTTTATTCACGAGTTGCTAAATAAATGTAGGTATCAAAAAACGAACGAGTGAGTTTTTATGCATAAATTAGCAACTCGTGAATAAAAATCGTTCAAGCATTTTCCATGGTGTAATGTTTTTATTTCATACTTACTGAGATTTTTTCTTACTGATAGCCGCACGCTTGTTGCCCTCCACTGTGAGGTACAATCCTTCATGTCTACGAGTGGACGAACGATGTATTTTCAGTCGTTCGCCCAAGTATGTATGAAATAAATTACTGTATTTTCAATGTTGGTTTTAAGAATCAGATACCGTATCAACAATTTTTTGAGCATAAATCTTTCCAAATCATGAGTAATTACTATTTGTTATCAGAAAGATTGTCTGCCGCAATCTTCAACCCTTAACAAAACGATCTACATTTTTGGTGAAAGATCGTTTCCTGTCCATGTAGAACGTTTGAAGTACTACCTTTCTGATCCCCTAACTCGATCAGCTCGGAGGTCGTCCAGTTCCCATTTTCTTAAAAGCTACTGAAGTGGTTGCTTTAACAAATTTTTTAAGGGTTTAAGTAGTTCAGGAATTAAATAATATTCATAAACTTCCATAGTTACAAAAGTGCCCTAAAAGTTTCCAAAGTGCCCTCCAAAGTTACCAAAGTGCCCTGCACAGTTACAAAAGTGCCTGTCACGTTACAGAAGTGCCCTGCACAGTTACAAAAGTGCCTGTCACGTTACAGAAGTGCCCTTTTGTGTAACAAAAGTGCCTGAAAAAAGATACAAAATGACCCTTTCCTCTAGTTCTCTGTCTTTCAATTTGTTTATTCATTTATTTATTACTTATCATTTTGCATGTTTTTCACATAGTAGGAACAAATACACATCAACCTAAGATTATTGACTAACAACAATTTACAAATGTTAATAATCAGTATTACTGTTGAATATGAGGGGAGGATTTAAAGTTTTTTAATATTTTGAGGTAAACAAAATTGATGTGGTATTTGTACCACACAATATAGATACAGAAAGAAATACTATTAAAGAGATCTTGAAGAAGCTCAGAACTTTAATTTATGGGATTGCATGCACAGAACTCTACTCTCAGACTTTGCAAATTAAAACATATTACAACAATTTTCCTCTTTTACAATTAGCCTTTTTAGCTACTGTACTGTCATTCAATTGTTATAAGTCATGTTAATGTGATAAATTAACTGAAAAATATGTTTTTCCAATTGAATAGAGGAAGCAAATTTCTAAAGAAACTGTGGTGCTGCATTTGTGGGGAAATATAACAAGAAAATTCTGTTTTATTAACTGAGTTGATAATATGAATTGGCCATTGTAAAGAGTTTCAAAGGTGACTTTTTGAGTGTCAGCCCTACAGTAGTTTTGACTGCAAGTGTGTTGTCAGTGACAGCTACCTCAAAGTTTTCTTGTATGTCAAATTGCTACACCAGTTAGAATTTTAATTTCCTTTGTTTTTTCTTTTAGTGTGAAACATTACTTTTTTCCTGGTCTGTACTGGATAAACAACCACAATGTGATGTGTAGTAGTGGTTCCAGAGTGCTTGATGGACAGTCAAGAGGACTTAAAAGAAACTAGAAAGAAAGTGGCTTTAATGCTTTCTCAATGGAGTTCCTCTACAAAGGTAGTCATTCTTGATCTAGCTAAATTTGTGGTTTACATCCTATCTTTTAAATTAAAAAATGCATCACCTCCTTTTATTCCACAGAACAAACTGGTGGAAGGTCTTTCGCACCATCTGAGAAAAGTGGAGGAACTTGTCTAAGTCAGATAGAGATGACTATAAAAAGGTGGCAACAGATTCAGGGTCAGCTGTGTCACTACTTTCAGCTGATAAACAAGCCAAGAAGATAATTGGCAACATCATGAAACAGGTCAGCTAATAATAATTATAGTCATTATCATCATCATTATTACATAATTACTATGATATTTATCACATTTTGTGATGTGAACTTTGTGGTTTACAAATGATTGTGTCCAATTAACTAAACTATATAAAGTAAGATTGGAGTGACGAGTATTTGAAATGATATAATTGATAAATTTACTGACCTTATGATTTGGTTTAATTTGTAAATTCTTAAATTGTGCCATAACAGCAAACAAGTATTTTGTATTGAATTTTCTGTTAGACATTAATTTAATTGATCAGCATTAATTTCTCAGTTTTCTTATTGTTACATTTATATTAATGGTACATTGAGTGTAAAATGATGATTAATTATGTATCTTAAATGATAATCTATACAGTTTCAGTAATTGACCCTTCAAACTGTACTATATTTAAATAATACAACACTGACATCATTATTACCAGCAACAAACATGACTGTTACTTTTGGTCTCTCATTGCAATGGTTGAGTAGTGGTATGAGTACTGATGGGTAACAAAAGGTTAGAGTAAAGCAACAACACACAAAGTAAGAGAAAAAGTCATTCGGTTTACACACTGTTGACTTGCCGCTTGGTCTTTTGCTGTAATTAGCTGGAAATGCATCCACTTTTTCTTGGTTAATGAACAGTTCCTCTCCATGATTTGAGGACTTTCCATTAGTTCCAGCGCTGCATTTCTGGACACATCCAAACAATGCATCAATGGAGATAAATAAACTTCCCTTCTCCTACAATCAGATGCCAATATCTTATTAAAATTGTCATGTTAGAAATATTTCTTAAGCCTAAATGAGTGAAAAATAATGGAATAACTCATGCTAAGACCAGATGCCACACTATAGAGGACCACTAGGAAAAAGAGAGACTCATAAAGATTCAGAATGATGTTTCTTGTTGAAATTATATCATTCATTATGCCAACATATATAATGATAGTTGTTCTAGATTTCCAAAGGTAGATATTACTCACTTAGGAATTTCATCTGCAGGATGACTTATCACAAACCTAGGACATGCAGGACATTCATCATCATTCTCATAAGAAGGATTGAATTGCTTCAGGTTACTCAAAATGCTGGACATACAGGAACTCCTGGAAACAATCTCCAACAAAGAGCCAGTAGATGTCCTTAATCTAAAGGAAATCAAATAATTTATTTATTGCATAAATTAAGAAAAAATTGCATTTGTGAGTATACGATAAAAATTTATTGAATGAATACTTACGTAAACCTTGGAAGCAGGAGGAACCAGCCATTGCAATGCCTGACATATTGACTTTAATAAAGACACTCTACATTCTAAGAAAATGTATTGGAACAGGGCCATAAATCCAAGGTCAAAGGCTACCTGGGGTTGTTTTGGAGAAGATAGCCAGAAACTGTTCCTGATCAGTGTTATGGCTTCTGGTTCATACTCGCAACATTTGATTTTAATGGATGCTGCTGCCCTGTACAAAGACAGACACCATACAGTAGTGTGTCCATACTTATATTCTTCTCTAATAATAATAATAATAATAATAATAATAATAATAATAATATTGTTTACTGATTCCTGTTTATGTTGAAAGTGGTCATTATTCCTCTCATGAAAATGAAAAACACCTCAAAAATACCACTTCTGCAATGTACAAGCCCTTATCTGTGATAGAATAACCAAGAGTCAGTCATGGAAAATTTACAGTTAAGGTATCAGTTATCCTCAGTAATGTGCTTGTTCTACCACTTTTAAATCTAAAATAATCAGCACCTTAAAACCAATTAAAACAGAAACAAAAACCTTCCTGGAAGAGGTAACCAAACTATTTAAGTGTAAGTATAGGTAAAAAGTGGGACTGGTAATTGTAGATTGGCAACCTATCTCACAATATAGTTACAAATTGCACTGCTGTTAGTTACTTACCATGCAAAAACCAACAGCTATAAAGTCATGCACATATCCATGATCCATGTTGTGAGGTGTAGTCCATACACACTCACCAAATTGATATGGCATTCATGAATCAGTTCCATCCTAAGAGTATATAATATCCTATGTGAATCAGGTGACTACAAATCACACACCCCTTAAATCAGCCAACTCTTTCAAAATTGCCAAAAATAAACTTTACTTTGTTCTGAGTATAGAGCAAATTACATGTATGTTTGCAAGAAGAAATTATGCTCACTGGTTTCACTTTTTCCTCTGTATAAAAGTGGGGCAGGTTTTACTGACATAATGTATATTGGAGTTGAGAAGAAACTTCATGAAGTGAAGTAATTGTGTAGAGGAGATATATACAGTTGTAAGAAAAAAAAGAAGGATGTCTCTGCAATCAAACCACACGAAATCGGGTTTCACAACATAATTGATAAGGTGATTGAAGGAGACTGTGTTCCATTAATCTTCAAC